CATTTGGTTATTACCTCCAAATTCTATTTCCAGCCCCATTTCTGACATATAAAATCGTTTTTCCCCCCGCACGCCAGCCTGGGTAGGTCACATGATTGCAGGAAATAAAGAAAGAAGCGTCCAGCCGTTCAGGTAAATCTTTTTATTAAATGTGTTTCCGTGTCGGAAAGGTGTTTACAGGGCGGGAGCCTGCTCCTTCGCCACGAAGAAAAGGAATCAAGAAGGTTGGAGAAGACGGTAATCACACAGAGATGGCTGACGGGGCCGCAGTAGCCAAACTTCAGCCCCTTCCACTGTGGTGAAACTACAAATCCCATCATGCGTGTGCCTCTGGAAGTCATGTCTGTGGCTGTCAGAGTCTTGCAATGCCTCATGGGACTTGTAGTTCCACCACAGCTGGAGGGCCCGGAGTTTGGCAACTCTACAGTATTTTCCTTCGCTCCTCCCCAAGGTTATGTAGGGAGGCGAGGAGCTGGGCCAGCATGGAGAGTAATTAGACACTCTCAGAACAGGAGAGGGCTATGATGGGCTAGGAGGGAGGGGGCTGTACTAGGGAACTGACTCTTCCTGAAGTAGTCAGATCTGGTAGCCGGTTCAGAAGCACATTGACAGTTCAATTCACAAGTCAGTTCCAAACTGTTTATGGAAAGGGAAACGCGCTGCATTCAAATCCCTGGTTTGCTCTGTGATTTCCTAATGACAAGGCCTCTTTATGGCTTAGCACTGACACACACAATAATCTGAGGGGTCCCGGCCACAACATCAATACAGATTTTCAGTCACTGTTACCTATACGTTGGGGTGTATTTATAAATCGTTCACACAGCAAAGAGCTCTGCGATGTTTGAGTCTTAGATATACAGGACAGGAATTGCATACGCTCCTCAGCTCCATCTAGTGGCCACAATGTGTTGTGTATCCAAAACTCAGATGTTCGCAGCGCTGTACGCTCAGATGTTCTGATTGTTGCTCGCTCAGACATTCACAGAGCTGTTGGCCCAGATGCTTTGCTTAGACATTTGCAGAGTTGTTCGCTCAGACATTCGCATTGTTATTCACTCAGACATTCACAGAGCTGTTCACTCAGATGTTCTCAGAGCTGTTGGCTCAAACGTTCTCAGAACTGTTGGCGCAAAAATTCTCAGAACAGTTCGCTGAAATGTTCACAAAGCTGTTCCCTTAGACGTTCACAGAGCTGTTGGCTTGGACGTTCACAGAGCTGTTGGCTTGGATGTTCACAGAGCTGTTGGCTTGGATGTTCACAGAGCTGTTGGCTTGGACGTTCACAGAGCTGTTGGCTTGGACGTTGACAGAGCTGTTGCCTTGGACATTCACAGAGTTGTTGGCTTGGACGTTCACAGAGCTGTTCGCTCAGATGTTCACAGAGCTGTTACCTTAGACGTTTCGGAGCTGTTCGCTTAGACGTTCACAGAGCTGTTCCCTCAGACGTCGACAGAGCTGTTCGCTTAGACGTTCACAGAGCTGTTTGCTTAGACGTCTACGAAGCTGTTGGCTCAGATGTCTGCAAAACTGTTCTCTCAGATTTTCACAGAGCTGTTTACTCAGACATTCGTGGAGCTATTCACTCAGACGTTCACAGAGCTGTTGGCTTAAACGTTCGCGGAGCTGTTCGCTCTATAAACATTTTATAAATACACCCCATGTTGTAACCTGTAAAGTCATTTAACCATTTTGCGCCATAAGCCGGGGGATCAGTAAGTCAGTTCACCGGAACTAGTGACGCCTCTTGCTCGGTGATGTCACTGGCTGCTGGTGAAAGGGCCGTATGTTCTGTAAAACTGGTCCAGCTCCCAGTATTGTTGCCATCGCTTTGTAGAGGTGATACAGATATGCAGACTCTCTAAAGTGCAAGTATGGGCCATGAGCACCTTCAGAATGGCATCTTCCCGGGAGCCCCCTCAATATAATATGCAATGGTCATACAACAAGCCCCCTCCCATCTTCTATGTAGCAGAGCCATCAGTGCCATTTGGGAAATACCCAGCGTTCCCTTCACCATGATGGGCACTAGAACTGTGAAATCCAAGGATAGTATGTCCCTCCTACTTTGAGTGCCCACCCACTATAGTTAGGGGGTTTAATATTGTAACCTATACTTGGACAATATCTCATTTATGATGTATGCATACCACACATTGATCATTGTAGTTTAAGATTTGCCATCTTTTTGTTCACAAGCCAACCTAAGACACACATTTACACTGCTCGAAGGTCTACAAAACAGAGATAAGTCACATAAATAGAGAAAGGGGGAATCCATTACACCAATATCAGAAACCAAAAGTAGAATCCATCAGGCAGGTTGTAGTGAGATATATACACACAGGCCAAGAGACATAACAAGGGATTGCCACTATCTGGAGCCACATATAGAACACTCTCCCTTTGTTCATCCATATTGTGAGCACTGAACAAGACAGCATGCATAGTCCATAATATGTCATTGCAAATGGAGGAAATATTTGGTCATTGGTTATGCTAACAGCATCATAAAGATGGATATTTCTGCTGCTCTTGGAACTGCAGCAACCAACCAATCAATCCAATACCAACTAAGAGAATAACACAATCCCGCGACTATCTTGCTACCTAGGACACTTGGACGATCATGGATTCGCACATCCTAGTGATGCAATGGATTGTCTAATCTTCTATTCATCTCTGCTTATTAAAAGATAAGTGCATCATTGAGGTCAACTTACAAAATGATTGCTGCCTCCTACATCTGGTGAGTCAATACCAGAATCTATAAGATTAGGTTTTCCATACATGCCTTTAGTGAAGTGTAAGAAAGCATGTGTTCACAGACAACAACACAAAGCTGAAGATCTGCTGAAACCAGACTTAGCTAGGGCCTTTTAGGTGAGTGCACCCCATGGGACTTCAACGGGCAATGGTGAGCTAAATTTTAGAAGCATGCACATCTAAAGGGATGCTGAAATGTCTTGTTTGATGGAGTATGCACAGAGTCCATGGTGTTTGGGAGGCAGTTAAAGTTCCAGTCTTAAAGAAAAAGAATTACTCCAGAAAATGTAAAAATGAACCCTCACAGTGTGGCTACCCCTGCACTGCAAAGGATAACTGCTCTCTTTGGTCTAGGGGCTAAAATAAATAAGAAATACTCACTGGACTCCTTTGGCAATGACCACTCACCTCTCTCTCTCCTTTTGCTCTGGTGGTAAAATGTCCCTGGGTGTCCTCATGTCTCATACAGCTGCATTAGACCTGATGACATCACAGGTCCTTAGACCCCCAGAGCCTTGGGGAGGATAAGGCTGTGGGCACCACCAAGTGGAGCTGAAGATCAGGTCAGTATATTTTCTTTACTTTAGCCCATAGGCCAAAATGAGCAGTTAACCCTTGCAGTGTAGGGGTAGCCCCACTGCGAGGGTTAATTTTTACATTTCCTGGAGTTCTTTAAAGACTAGCAGAAGACCTGAAGATTACTCTTTGGGGGGTCCGTTTTATTGCTTCCCAGATCACCTTCATGCTTAGTAGACATGGATAATAATGATATCGCATTGTCCTTTGAGCAGGACTGCATTTGCTGAACCAGGAAACAATGTATCACCTGTCCGGCCTGCAGTGTGAAAAAAGTGTGTACAAAACTGAATAAACAGAATGTAAAATAATTTGGCAGATAAAAGAATTTCAATATATGAATTTTAAAAGTGTATTTTAAAGTTTGCTCAGAGTTCAGCTTTCAATAATCTACTGTGACCACTTGTGTGACTTTTTTTTATATTCCTCCATTTTCTTACATCTATTTCTTGTCAGATTTAAAACATCAATAAAGTGCACTTATCCTTTAAGCAGTGATGACCAGGAAGATTCAAGGCCTTGTAGTACTACCTCACTGCCAACCTACAATGAACAGAAGATGTGCATGCTGGGTTCAGGGAAGCTTATGGGGGGGTCTACAACCATGTTCCATCCATAGAGACTCAAAGTAAACTGTATGACAAATCCAAATTTTGCAAATTTGGGCATGGGGGTAATCCAGAACAAGGAAAAAGCCAGCTCTGCAAAGCAGAAATCGTATACAGAAGTCTTAGACTAAGCAGACATTGCGTCGATGTACCGAGGGTGGTTATAATGACACACGTATTGTTACAAGTCACACATATTAGTCATCTTTTCACTGTCACACAAGCCCGGCCCTGTGTAGCAATGAGCAGGGTCAGTCTTACACATAATGACGTAAGATAATATACAGTCTTGTATGTTACAATGTGTTACATAACGGGAATATTTTTACACATTCAGAGAGCATCCATGTCCTACAGACATCAGAAGTTCAAAAGGAATTTACAACTTGGCAGAGGCTTGGTTACTGTACAAAGGCTCTGCAAGTCTTCTCAACATTTGGGCACCAGCGATGAGCTGCAACGTAGGTAACGTTTAGTTCTTCTTACTAGGAAATGAGTTGATTAGATTAAATTAGACAGTTTTATTAAATTGCCATTTATGAGTCATCTGAATATTTTGCTTCCTTTGAGTTTAAGGTTTAAATGGCAGTGGCCATAATGGTGAGTCTGTTTTGCCTTTTTCTAGATCAGCCCTGTTATAATTTAGGAAGATAATGTAGACAAGGACGCTGCTGTTTTTCTTCTCACAGCTGAGAAATGGACAGAAAAGCATCTAGTAAGGTCCTGCTTTATTTCAAATGTCTTCATATAGTTTGTACCTCAGGTACATTTCCTGAAACTCGTAAAGCTTTCAGCGTCTTCCCAGACCGGCAACACAAAAAAGATGTCTCCATGGAAATTGGCCTCTAGAAGTTCATAAGAAGTACAGATTCATGTTATAACATATCTGGGAAACTTTTATTTACTTTTGCTTCTCTACAAGGACTGCCCATTGTGGATGAATGATGGTTGGTGGACCTTGGACACATAGCATATTTTTCCAAGTTTGGAAACCCATCTGAAAGGGCTTGGATGTTTCAAAATAAAACAATAGTAGCAATCTAAAGTAGGTGTCTAAGAAAGAAATATTTTAGAGAGGCTTTAACTCGAAGAACCAAGGCTTTGTAACAAAGTGACACCAGGCCACAATTCCATGATGATTCTAAATGTTCCAAGAGCATTTTATATTGTCTGTATGCTGGTCTGAACCCCATGAGTGAAGGGGACAGTGTCTAGTGTGCATTGGAGTTAGTTGGCTGGCAGGTAGTGGCTGATACTGTCTCCCAGCATATAAGAAAGGCGCGTAGATCTAATCATGGATTATTAACATCATAACTCTAGCTTCAGTGAGTGAGACTCTACTAAAGTCTTGAAAAGAAGCCTCCTTCCACATACATGGATCTAAGAGCACCCCAGCTCTTAGTCAGACCTCCAAACCTTGGAGATGACCATCGTCCAGAACTTTATAAATTGCATATGTACAGGATCAGAGTTTTTGTTCCTGGACAACCCTCATGGCTTGACACATTTTCCTTTTTTTTCTTTGCGCTGGAGTTTCCTCAGACGCCTGGTCCAAGCGTCCCTCCACTGAATCACCATGCTGTTTTTGTCAGCTGTAAGTCCTGGCCTGTCTCCTGGACCATCGCTGCTGCCCATTATCAGGTAGCGGCGGCTCAGCAGGATCTTTGGGCACTTGCAGGACAAATCTTTAATGTGTATCCACAGCACATTGTCTCCTCGTTTCACTCGGTCATCTCGGCACTTGTACACAGAAAGGACGTTGACAGTAAACTTTGCCCATGATCCGACCATCTCAATCTCCAAAACGTTCACTTGGACCACTGCAAAAGAAAGAGTCATATATGAAATAGAAATCAGAATGCTTTTTACTAGGTACTCAAACTCTAGGTTCACTAGGTTTACTAGATTCTCATTAGTATTTTCTGCATCATATAAAAATATAGAAAGCAGAGTGCATTATTTGTGGTCCACAGAATTAAGACCTCATGGTGAACAGGCCAACACATTCAATGGTAAAAAAACATATAGGGTATGTAGACTGTTATACCTACCAAAGGACTTGCAATTCTATTCAGCCAGTCATGTCATTTACACACCTCTATCACATGTTTTAGCCAGGATGGGAACTTAAAGGGGTTCATTTGGCAGATGCCATTGTCATTAATAGTGCTAGTTCACATCTGTGCAATGTGGTGCCCAAAAGAGTTTATGTCCCTTTTTTTCTACCCAACTGTAGGGTTTCCCATCACACTGCAGGCTGGTATACCAATTCAAGACACTCCGGTGGGAGCTGTGGTGACCTGCGGATGGCGCTGCGCAGACCAAATGTAAACGAGATCCATTGAGGTGTGCTGCCATTCTTATCGATTGACCCTAATGTGTGTTGACATAAAAAAAAGGTAGATGAGATAGTCACCAGCAGACCAGAATCCACTTTATCGCTCCATCTTTATTGACGTTATAAAAACATGGTATCACAGAAAAATGCAACATTTTGGAATCCAATGCAGTTCCTTCATCAAGCAAAGCAGTGTGATGGAACCCTGCGTGGGGTTCCAAAACTTTGCATGTTTATCTAACGTCAATAAAGATGGAGCGATAAAGTGGATTCCGGCGTGCTGGTGACTATCGCTTCTACCTTTTTTTTATATCAACACACATTAGGGTCAATCGATGAGAATGGCAGTGCACCTCAATGGATAATGAGGGCAATAAAAAAAAAATCAAAGGATAACACATAAGTGTAAAGTCAGTCATAGGGCCTATCCATACTTGTCCATATTCCTACAGTAAAATGCATTTTAATGAAGAATTCCAGGATTTATTAAAATTAACCCTTGCAGCGGGCTACCCTGCACCGCAAGGGTTATCTGCTCGTTTTCGTCTAGCAACGAAAATAAAGATGATATAATCACTTGATCCTCAGTCCCATCTAGCTGATAGACCGGTCCCCGCAGCCTCTGTTGATCTAAGGAACCGTGACGTTATCCTGTCTAATGCAGGTCCATTAGACATGAGGACGCTGAGGGACATTTCACTGCCAAAATGGAGGTGGAGAAAGACGAGCAGCCACAGGATCAAAGGATAAGGTGAGTGTATCTTCTTTATTTTTGCTCCAAGACCAAAATGAGCACTTAACCCTTGCAGTGCGCGGGTACTTAAATAATTTTAATCAATCTTGGAGGTCTTCTTTACACAGGAATCCAGTTCCTTCCTATGTGGCTGGCTCATGTGCAGCAGTTTAATATCTTTTTAAAGGGAAGCTATAGGGGCCCATTCGCATCAATACATGTGCAGCACATTGGTGGAAATGGCTCTTAGGAACAAAAACAGTCATCATGTCCATTGGCTAATATTTTTATCGTTCCAGGCTTCGCAGGAGTAGCTGCATCTTCTGCAGACTTAAATCTATTGATATTTGTAGGAAAGTGACAATCAGAAGCATCAGGCCAATGCACATGCCAGCCCCACACTAGCAATCTGCAGCTTTTATACTGGGAGATAGTAACGTTGGTCACCATCCAACTGAAATCTTAGCATACCAGGCACATAGAGGCTCTTGTTTGGGCTGAGGGAGGTACCAGGGACTGAGGTTATAGTATGAGACCACTACCCCCCACTTCCAAAAAGCTCTATTTATCAGCAAGGGGTCTTTGTCCTGCTGACAGGGACAGCTTGGGGAGGCCTGGTTCAGGCTCTCTTGTCTCACAGACCCAAAACGCCTCTTCTATTCTCCGCACGCCAAGAGCCCCTGCCATACATCAATGTGTTTCTTCCCCTCCGTGCTCAGGATGAATGGTCACCGTGTCACACAGATTAGGGGCCATCAGTCTACATCCAATGACTGTGCAGCCAGGTGATTATTAGCATCTCATTAGCATACCGTTCCCTCCCATGGATATTTGATTTTTTGGGGGAGGGGGTCGATATCCTTTTTAACATTTCTGGCAGACACAGAAAGGGATGGCAATGAAAAGAAATGGAGAGGGAGCCTATGAAATAGGGAGAGAGGTGGAAAGACTGTCCCATGAATTAAAAGGCAAGAGTGCTTTCTCCTCTCTCGTCCTAATGGGGATACGGACCTTTTGTAACCCAGTGGCATCTCCCCTCTTTGTGCCTCTCGACTCTTGTGTGGCTGAATGGACATGGAATGCCAATCCTCTGGCTGCTGTGTGGCCGGTGATGAAAGATACTCCCCAGTATGTATGAACCATACATATATTTTATATATTATGTATAGGGTTGGCCATACATTCCAATTTCTTCATGACTTGTCAGTCTCTGAACTTTAACTGACCCAGAATAAACTCACTTTTTGAATCCTTGGAAAACTTATAGACCTATAAAATTAGTATAGATCACAAGGACCCACATTCACCACAAACGGTTTTTCATATTCACCTCTACACCAACTTTGAATGCATTTAATTAGTTATTAGTAACAAACTATATGTCCATATTGAGTTGACCTATATCCTTAAGCTTTCATTAAAGTATATCTAAACCCAAAAATGCTCATGTAATATATACTGTATTTGCAGCTTACCAGCCCTTAGATGTGGTGGCTGCATTAGATTTCATGTTTCCTTAAATGTTTACTCTATTGTTTAATAGGAGGGCCTGTGATCCACAGTCCTACTGAGCCTTCCTACTGAGCTTTTATAAGGGACCCTAGGAAAGCCTGCAACCTTCATACAGACGGTGAGGTTAGCTGGGAGAAGGAGGCTTGAACCAATCAGGCTTTGCTTCATGCACATGTGTTGAGAAGGAATATGTTGACCGAAGGAAAGATTAGAAAGATGATCTCATCAATTTACCACTTCTCTTTCATTGCCCAGTCACAGTTAGGGGACAGGGAGGTGCCCAAGCTGCATTGCTTATGCAGCAATTGGAACGCTTCTCTTCTCACACTGGAGGAAGTACTTTGAAAAGCTGCTTTTTATTAAGCTGAATGGGCTAGGCTATTCTTAAATTGCAGGAAGTGCTTCTGAGATTTATAAATAGGTATCTAATATGAATAGTTTAATGATCATTATAACAAGAAACCCTCTTTTAAAAATCCCATGCTTGGTAAACCCAATCCCTTACTGCCTCCCCATTTTCCAATATGTCGGTCAACAGCACCCTTAGCCTGCCATTGGGCAAATACCCAGAACCTCACCATAATCTTTCTTGCAGTATTTCTTCAAGTTGATTTTGTAGTTTCCTTTTGGAGGCTTGCAGTACTGCTCACAATCTGAAAAAATAAATAAAACCAAAAAGTTAGATATTGTAATGGAACTCAAATACATTTCTGGGTTTATTTGAAGGTAAACTATAGTGGTTTCTGGAGCGTTATATTTGAGATTTTTAAGTTTATAAACTGATCTTTTGTTAATTTTGTATTATTTTATAACATCCTTATTTTACAAATAAACAATTAATACAGTGTTCACTGTAGTGAATGCTGATCTGTGCAAAGCTGACTATACAGTATACAATCTGAGCATACAAACCCCTTTAGATCCACCATCAACTATTTAGTATAAGGGCCTGCCTAATTAGATATACATTGAATAGGTTGTTTAGGTTTTAACTCACATTACATAGTTCTGATTAATTCAAAGGAGATTGGGAAAGCCCAGCACTAGCTCTGCACTTGTCGACTGCTCCTGCGTACTGAGATCTAGATGCACAATTTATATGTGAACAGACTCCTCGGTGTCCTTCAGATGACTTATTCAGTCTGTAATTTGAGATCCCGCTATTCAGGTCTGTATTTATAGCACAGCAGTAAGCCCGCTACCTACAGTACAAGACTAACTCTTGTCACAAAATGGTAAATATAAAAAGTTTATATGGAATACAGTGAACTTCCAGTTATCCAGCACCCATGGGTATTGGTAGATAACTGTAGTTTCTGGTTTCTTAAGAGTTACTATTAACTCTCAAGCAACACCCCGTGCCCCATTCATCTGCTGGCTAGATTCTGCTATTGGCTATTTCAAATTGCCGTAGCCAATAGCAGGCTGGCTATTGCACATGCCCACTGCCCGTTGTTTATATTCACCTGCCAGCTGTGGAATCTAGCTGTCGGCCGCAGCAAGATGTAAATGTAGTTGCTAACAAAATGTTTTAGTGTGCACATGTCTATCAAGCAACTGCCAAAAAAAAATTGAGGACATATGTCCTCGATTTTTTTATTTTTTTTGGTTGCCTGAGAGTTATGGATGCTTGAATGCCGGATAATGGGGAGTTTACTGTATTTCATATTAACTTAGCTAGAATCAAAAAATCAAGCATTTGACTTTTTCCTCCTGAATATAATATAGAAAACTGCATACATTCAGTTTAATAATGAAATGTAAGGAGTGGTGATGATATACACAGTGTAGCCACTCATATCAGGTTTCCCCTTTCATCGACGTAGAGAGTTCACTAAAAGCAAATGATTTCTTACTGGTTTCTGTGGGATGGCGCATTTTGCTTCATGGCACCTGATCTAATTGTATTTGTCTGTTTGAGTTCCTGGCACCCATAAATAAAAAACACCCATTTCATAAATGGGATTATGAATATCCGCCCCTGGTGTAATTTCAGCATTGGGCTATAAGATTTACTGAAAGAAGGAAATGGAACGGCCTCCCCATAACAAGCTTTGGGTTTCAGCCAGGGTGAAAAGGCCATCTGTTGTGGGGTGGAGGGCGCAAAGTGTGCCAGGGACCAGTGCCAGGGTGACATTGGAAATCCTGTCACATGCCAGGCGAGTGCTGGGCACAGGCAGGTACAGCCTCAGGTCTTAGCTCTCTGTGTAAGAAGCCGTAGCTGGCAGACTGACCAGGTATAATGCTGATTATAAAGTACCCAGGCTGCGTGGCTCTCAATTTAACCCTGACTTATCCAGTCTTGAACTGTATCACTGTGTCTATATTCAGCACACACAAATCCTTCTTCTTAACTCAAAATAAACCAGTCTACCTTAGCAAGCCAGTACAAAGAAAGCAGTGGTGTTAAGTAAAGCTTACCACAGGCATTAAAAGCTGCTGTCCAGACATAACAAAAAAAACGTAATTGTTAGGGCACTTCTTCATGCAGCCACTGGCTTTTGTTTTAGGTTCTAACAAATACAAATGGATAAAGCATGCTACACCCTACAGGGAACAGCCAACATAGTCATATCACCATACACATCAGTTTGTTATCCTTAGAATGTAGCTGCTTCCTTTTCTCCAGTACCCCTCCATTAAAGATACTGTTGATGATGCTTCACTACAGTTTAATAAAACTGTTGAGTAGACTGGTCATCTGGCCATCTGAGCTGCTTAGCTGGGTGCCTGTTGACCAGTCTACTCAAAGCTCCTCTCTAGCTCTGCAGGGTGTGCATTCGTCATGTTGGGTGCCCTGCAGACTTCTCTTCCCAGTGAGAAGCCAAGGAATGGGGCGCCAGGAGATGAGGTAACTTTATGGTTTTCTCACGTTCAGAGACAGTATGAATGTGTAAAGAATTGTGGGATTCCTGCATGAGCATGCACGCTTAGATTGTCTAAGCATCCATGTTTATGCCTATGGAGGAGGAAAGGGGGGAAGGGGAGCAGGACAAGACACCGCCACCCCATTTTTCCTGGAGGAAAAAAATGGCTTACAGCTTAATCTAAACCAATGTGGTCAACAGCTAGTTCTTCCTAAATGTGTCAGCCAGGGGCTGGCATGCTTAAATGCTACCCATTGATGATGATTGTCACCCAATCATTGCAAAATTCGGTTGATTGTACACTAGTCCTCACCTACCTATGACCAGTCTAAGCTATTGCAGTAAATTCTATTCAACTTTCATCAGTTTAGAGCAGTCAGAAAAGTAAAAGATGAATGCTGAATTAAAACTTTGGGCTATTGCACTATTCCTGATTGGTCTTTTCTTTATCGAAAAGATTCAAAAAGAGACTTTAACCATTCAAAGCATCAGGTCCTTTTAAAAAAACAACCCTCTAGGCACTTATACCCACCATTGTTGCACTCCCCTGCCACTCTGGTAATATATCCTAACCCTGTGTATGTATGTATGTATGGTGTTGGACCTTACACAGAGTTATTCACTTCTTCCCCATAACCGTGTTTGGTCCTGGCCATTGGCTGCCCAGATCCAAAAGTGTAGTTCTATCCTGATAACCCCGAGAGAGGTATAGAGTGTAGCGAAATTGAGTATCAGTAGGTTGGGGGGCAAAGTGTCAGAGTCTCTTTAAATTAAAGCCACTAAACAGTGATGGACTTATGGAGTGAGGATAAAACTATCCATTGCCATTTGTAACATCATATAAATGAGAGTACAGCTGACATTTGCATAGACTTTAATAATCCCTGAATCTGTGGGCAACATGGACACTATTCTTTCTTCTAGTTATTTTTACACAAAGAAACCCTTCGTGACAATGAACAAGGCAAACCCTAAGTAAATAAATGGAGTCTTGAAGTATAGAACTACCCTGTTTCTGCTCCTCCCAATAGCATAATAGTAATTGTGGTTATTTGGTTGCTCCTAAAGGAATAAGAGGTTGAGAAACACCCTAAGAATCCATGCACTGTAATAGTGACTACTGTATATTTCAAATTGTGCTTCTTTCCCTGAGTTTCTGCTACTGTTCTGCCAATGCCAGTGGATGGTTAAGCTTTGCTTTGGTCTGATAAGACCTGTTTAGCAGGATTCAGTGCTGGTCTCTTGCAGGACAGGCCCCCACATCCTAGCACTAAAGCTTTTATTCAGATAAAAACAAAATCAGCTTATAAAACTGGAGCTCAATTATGTACCCAAGTTCCTTCTTACCTTGTAATCACATTATCAAATACTAGACTTGTTTAGATATGTGACCCAGCCGACCATGCATTAAAAAGCTAGGGTTGTGTAGCTATGTAACCGTATTCCAACTACAAGTTCTGGCACTTTGTGGTTCCCTGTTGCAGAGATCTGCATAGGTCTGGTTCTGTAGACCCACATCTGACTTGTACTTGTGACCCAAACCAACAACCCACTTTTGAACATGCTTTTACCCTGAAGATTATGTATCTGCACCTCTATCTGAAATCAGTTTTTCCTTTACTGCGTAATTTCTTTATTTCAAGAGCACTGCCATGCTACAGGAGAGCTGAAACATTACATATGACTGCCATTTTAGAAGATACAGCTGGCATGATACCAGGGGGTGCTGAAAAGTTCTAGACCTGACCAAAAAGGGAATGACCTAGAGTCATGAAACTTGAATGCTATTCCACATATTCAACACACTTGGCACATTGTTTCTAAAGTTTCTTGAACCCTTCCAGGACCTGATACAGGAAACAAGTGGAATACAAATTCTGGACCCACAAGGTTTGCCCTACGGGTGTGATTGGTTGTCCATTTAGGATGTGAAGGAGTCGGTAAAGGTGACAGACTACCGGACAAGCAGCTTTTTTATTGCAGATGATTTACACGTTCTTGTTTTGTAGTAACAAATTGCAGGATTGTGAAATGAAGTGCCACACTCCGTTTAATAGTCCAGATACATCTTTATTCAATATAGGGTAGACGGGACAGCATAGACATAGCAAGTTGCTGCCAAATCGGCTGCTGATGTGCTCCAGGCATTCTCACACACTGGACAAAATTATATCCAATTCAAGCCATCAAAGTCCTGATACATGTTCTCTCTTAGTAAGCCCTCATGAAGGGGGTGTTTGTATGAGCCCTGAACGCTGTGGATATTTCTATACTGTCTTCTCAACCCTCCATATAAAACCCTATAATAAAGCGTCCTATGGTAGCCAAAATCAACCAACCTTCAATGTTCTCATGCAGGGACATCCCTAGCTTTTTTGCCATCTGAGGTGGCAAAGAAGTTGGGTGGCGTTACACCGAGCTCCTGGCAACCAGTGATGTTACTGGTTGCCAGGAGCTCGGTAAAAACGTACAAGGTTGTTAAGAGCTGAGCGGGGAGATATCTAAGGGCCATACACATCTCCTCACCCGGCTCTTAGCAACCTGGGACTCTCTGAATGGAAAGGGGATGCCAGACACATTGCAAACATTGTGCAGCAGAGCAGCCATGTCGCTCTGCCTGCCACCCCCCCTCCTCAGGAGATGCTGATTGGGGCAACAGCCTCAGGCTGCCTCATTATAGGAAGGGTCTTGTCAGTGGCGTCACAAAGGGGGTGCGGGGGATGCGGCCCGCACCTGGGTGACACCATTGGAGGGGTGACACCAAAATGACTGACAGTCATTTTGGTGTCACCCTCCCCCTCTGAAAAGTCAGGCACTCGGTCAAGGACCGAGAGCCCGACAGTTGCTCGATAGAGAGGAGGGGACCTGACGGCATAACTTATCCCGCCAGGTGATGTCTCCTCCTCTCTCTGCCGGCGTCCATCACCAAGACGGCTGCTGGCAGGTAACAGCGGTACTGTGCGTGACATCATCATGCGCACCTGCGATGAAATCATGCGCATACACAATGACGTCACTGCGGGGTGTCACCCGGTACCCGCACTGGGTGTCACTCCACCTCGGAACGCTTTTGGGTCCTGTTCTTATGATCCCCCATTGTTGTCTGTCATTACATAATATACATAGTACCCATAAACCTGCAAAACTGAGGCAAGTGATCCACAGAAATGATGATTATATAGATCTTACTGCAGCTACATCCATGACTAATCTGAAGGATGGCGATAGATGCCATAACATTCTAGCTGACTCATTCTCTTACATGGAAACTGCGGGGAAGACAAAACATTCTTCAATATAATGTAAAATGAATAGCTGTTTACCATTTCAAATGTATTGCATTAGGGTCTAATATCTGAATGTAAAAATGATTTGTCATAACATTTTGGGGCTACCAGAATATGATACCTGCTTACTACTTGATTCTGCTATTTGTGGTTATTGTACCGACTAATATGATTAGCTTGTACTTCCCACCCACCTCAAGCACGATGATATCCACATGGTCTGAGATTATGCAGATGCAATGGTGATTTTTTTTTGTAAATTCTTTATTTCAATTTTTCAAACAATACAGGTAATAAATCAAAAGATACATAATGCAATGGTGATTTTTATCCTGACTGTATTTTTTTTTTTTCAAATCTGCCGCTGTGAACTATAGCTGGCGCTGCGTTTACTAAGAGACGGCCATAGCAGGTCTCAAAAATTGTCAGCCGGCTGAACTCTTTAGCTGCACAGCCTAAAGAAAGTCAGTTTTCACCCAACCCAGATCTCCAACCTGCTGTTGAGCTTTTAACTTTCTCAGTGGCCAGAAGACTGCCAAAAGGTTGGCATCCGCCTCGGTGTCCATGTGGTTAAAGGTATCATTATTTCCGCTGGGGGATTCGGTTTCAGAAAATGAGGAGAGAAGTTTGCAAAAATGTCAGTGCAAACAGAGCCGAACAGGCCTCCACCCTGACTGCAGGACCGAGAGAGGGGGACCAGCTCCTTCTCTGGGGGCGAGCAGACGCTATCTCACCTTACTGGAGTAGTGCTATGTCAGCTGTATGGGCTGCACGCTGGATATGCCATAGAATGGATAAGAATATCAGACTTCCATATGGCATAACGTCCCCTATCTAACACATCAATGTATGTTATTGTCCTCTCTGTTTATCACAGCATTACAAAGGTGTGTGTCTGCAGTATACTATGCATGGAATGCAAACCCATTTTTAAAAACTCACAGATGAGGCCATAGAAGTGCACATAGTTCATTGCGGGCTGGAGAGGAAAACTATGACTAAGAAGTAGCAGGCCTGGCAGCGTTGGGTTAATGTATCCTGACCACAAAAATGTTCTGTGTAAGAGTTCTGACCAGCCACCACCTCCCCTCCCCAATCTTCAGTCGGATCATCAGAGAGCCATGGGTATTCAGTACTCCAGCTTTAAACCGCACGTGGGCAGTTGCCGCTCCACAGACCCTCGCTCTGTTAACCCTTCAGCCTCAAACTGGCACTTTGCGGTGCTTTGGCCTCAGAGATTTTAGTAGATGAGCGACTGGCTTAAAGCAGCACTATCATGAGATAAGTACAGGAGCTGCCACAGGTGGCCTCTTTCTGAAAACTCGAATGGCCTGTGCGTGACTTAAAGGGGGACTGATACCTGGAAGCTGTGCCCAAAAAACAGCAGGCATAGGGCAAAGGACTAGTCACCAGTTGTGCCTTTGGGCTCCCTGCACGTGATCTTTCCCTCATTACTGACTTACCATGCCTTGCTCTGCGCGAAGGCCGTCCATCTTGGTAGAGGCAGGGCTCTGCTTCCTAATGTCAGAGCCTCCAGCAAGGAGAACAGTGAGCAGCACAGTAGTGACATCACAAAAGCTCACTCCAAATCTCTTAATTAAGACTAGCAGTCAGAGACAGCAGTGCCTTAGATCTCACACATCAGATATACAGCTATAAGACTGAAGGCACAGGAGTTCCTAGGCACCCTCACACATCAGGAAGCAAACTGCTATTTTTCAGCAGCAAAGGTATTTTCTTTGTGTTTTCTCTCAGGTTTCTTTTAAGGAATCACCCGCCAGAAGGGAATTCCTACTGAACTGGCTGCAGACATTTATGGCTCATTGAAGAGAGACACAAATGCTTCCACTGCTGACCTCTCCTCCTAAAAAATCCTAGTCTCCTCCTAGTCTTCTGGCTTCAGGGCTTTCTGAGTCACTGACCTCGGACAACAAGGTAGATGAGGTCTTCTGACTTTTCTCTGATTTTCTTGACCTGCATACTTGTTTCAAGTTGGTAAGTCAGAAAGTACAGAAGCCAGAAGGTCAGCATAACCACCATAAAAACCAGGAATTTATCAATGGCATCTCCTGTATTTCTCTCATGACAGGTTTACTTTAAAACACATCTCCTAGAGTACATTTCCTAGAGTTCTCCTTTAACTAATAAAAGATGGATGCCGATGATGGTCCTAAACTTGTGTCTTTTAAACAAAGTTTGCAATGGCCTGTCCCATGTTTCCCACCATACGGTTATTCCTGCAATATGTATTAAAGTTCCCCCCATAAATGTTTATAAAGCAAGGGAAGGCCATGTCCATAGCATAGTTGGGTTTTTGTTTTTATTTGTCAGCCAATCCAGAGTATCTACAAGCTTCTTCTCTCTGTAAGATATCAAATACTATTCCCATTCACTTCTGAATTCCATCATGGAATACTAAAAATGTGAATGATGGTCTATCATTAGTATGTTATTTGAGACCTGATTTGTTTTGTAGATAGGACATCAGCACATGGTAGATAAAGTGGCTTAGTGGTTAACACTCTTGCCTTACAGAACTGGGGGTCCCTGGTTCAAATCCCAGTTAGGACTCTATCTACAAGGAGTTTGCATGTTCTTCCTGTGCTTGTATGGATTCCCTCCCACACTTCAAAGACATGCAGGAAGGTAAATTGGCTCCTGCCTATATCAGCCCAAGTATTTGAGATAGGGACCTTAGTTTGTAAGCTCTTTGAGGGCGGGAACTGATGTGAATGTGCAGTATGTAAATTGTTGGCGCGGTATATAAAAACCTGTAATAAAAAAATCGCCCTGGGGCATTTTACTTATGGACACATAATGTGTTTCTCTGCAAATATTCATCATGGCTACACTTAATTCTCTTAATACAAAGTAGCTGGGAGAACATCACACACCATAATCGGCCTTCATTGTTCAATTTCATGGGTCCTTTCAATTTTTCTTTCTCTGTCCCCCTCCTGTGACTCTATTATCTCCATGAATGTCCTTACTGTCTCGTTCTCCTGATGGTGACACTTGCCCCTGGCTGCCCTGGCTTTCTCCCATCTACCCCAGAGGCTTCTTACCTCCAGTCTGCAATGAATGTTAATGGACATCCCCATATAAAAGGTATCAGCTGTCACTGCTAGTCCGATCTTTTGGACAATACAAAACGTCTGCACATTCTCCCTGGGATGAATCTAGTTTTTCTGTCTCTGTTACCCCCCTTGAACTAAGTGTCCTCTCTTTCTTCGCTCCTAGTTTTCATTAAACTCGGGAGAGTCGCCAGGGCCGGTTAACCCATTGCTTGACATTTAATAACCCCCTGCGGCCTGGCATATTCTCTGGCAGTGGGCCTGGAAAACTTGTCTCTGAACAGCTTGTCTCGGAAAGCAGGGAAAAATTTCCAGTGTTTTGATGCACGCTTTAAACGTCTGGCATCCACCATCTTCCTGCCGACATGATGAACTGGCAGCGGGGCTAATTTTATTTACTCTGAGTTTGTTATCTAGAACCAAGCACAGCACCACCCCTATTCTGCAGATGGTATGACTTACCAGCTGGCTCCTCTGTGCTGGTGAGGGCTGGAGTTGGGACCACTGCTGGGATTTCTGAGGGTGGGAAAGAAAAAAAAAATGGCGAGAGATGAGAAGAAATTCTGCGTTATAGTTAACGAGTCATTGCATGAGCTGGAGGATAATACACTACCGTTGGATAAGAGCCCGTGCACCTGCAAATATCAGGTATATCATAGCCTTTGTGCATGGTGATTTATAAGCATGGTTCTCTGCCAGAGAATTTGCATTTCTCTCCAGCCAGTCCTGAGATTGATACAGCATTGCCAGACTGTACAACTGGGCTGGTGACTTCTCTATAGCAGTTAAGCAATACAGTCTATCACCTCTTGCACATAGCATGTGACTAAACAGTGAAGGAGCAGCAGCAGGCTGATGAAACTATGGGGCTGATTTATAAATCTTCCACCCGGTGAATAGATGGGCAAATGCCAGTTGTATGACACTACTGCCCCTAGATGGAGCTGGGGAGCATGGGAAATTCATATGCTTCTTAGTGCCTTCTATTGGCAGTAATGACATGTGAACGGCATTTGCTGAGCTTAACAATGGGTGGCAGATTCATAAATCAGCCCCTATGCCTCTGCTCTCCCCTTCTGTCACCAAGAAAAAATGTATACTGCAGCACACCTGACTGGCTCCTAGTGCTGCCCCTCTCTCTCCCAGTCGGAGCCTTGCTGACTGGGGATTACAACATATTGAATAGCAACTCAAATTCAGTGATTAATAGCTGTTTTTAAAAATAGATTTAGTGATTCTTAATATACATAACAGCATTTGTGGGGGTTATTTCATATCTACCTGGAAGTTTAAAGCATTTTGCTGGTGGTTTTGGAGACTCCAATGCCAAGAAATGTTGCATGTAGGCCATGGACCATGTGTGAACAGTACTAGTTAAAAAGTATACCAGGGATCTTATCCAAGCATTTTGTCGCTGTTGTAAACGGCTGCAAAATGCTTAGAAACACTTGGGGCTAGGGTATAAACGTTCCTCCTAGCATATATAGCTGGGTGAATGTTGTTCGTATGGCATTCCTGCCACTAGACAGAGTTGAGGAGCATAAGAATTTCCTAGCTCTATCTAATGGTAGGAATGGCATGCAAATGGCCACACTGGGCGAAACATTATATATCAGACCCTAGCTATGTTAACAAATTCATAAAAAGGCAGGTACACATAGTAGTAATAGATCACCATAACTGAGCAAATATAGATCCTTGGTTTTACAGAGATTCATTTCATATTATCTACCCATACATCGGCAAGGCAATCTGTGAGCTTCATACATGCACACTTCTGAGGATCTCCATTCATCTTGATGATCCTGGAGGACGCGGCGGATAACAGAACCAGTTGGCATATAGGTGCATTTTTGGTCCTCACATGTGTCATGCACCATATCCTTCAAGATCCTATATCCATCCCAATGATAAATGGAGGTTCTCAGAGAGCTGCTGACCACCGTCAAAGTAGACATAAGGATTCAGGTATGAAGACCATAGGTCGCCATGCCTGTGTAAGGGCAACCTTAGTAATTAGCTGTTCGGAACACAATAGAGTTCTATAGTTTAACATGTCGTAGAAAGTCAAAAGAGTTTCAGACAAGTTATACAAATATATACTATACAACTCAAGCATGATTAATCTCTAGGATACTCACTGATGCATGGAGCAATGGGTGAACGACTTTGCTGATATCCTTTGGCACATCGGTTACATGTTAGTCCAGTCACACCATCTTTGCATGGGCATTGTCCGGTGGTCTGATTGCAGGTCTTCCCTGCTGCCCCCACTGGATGACAGTCACAAGCTGAAAGAAAAAGGCCTTGTTAGACCACCTTTATGATAAATGTATCATATATACAGTATATACCTCAGTGATGGCTCATCTGCCTCTACTGACACTCAACAGTTGCCCTCTAATGGCAATCTTATGGCCCCATCCTTGACCATTTAAGTTTTACTAACATTCTTTAATCAGCCTTTAGCAAAGCAACATAATTACACTCAGAACTCTCTTATTTTATCATTATAGAGCTTCCTCTAACAACTGGTTTACAAGTTTTTACTAGTTTACAATATTTAATACGATGACTTGTTCTCAACAAAAATACACTATACCTTCCCTTTAAAATCTGCAACCACAAAGATAATCCCATGGAAGCCCTGTAGTGAACCTTACCCTGAAATAAATTATTATTAGGCCCTAACTCCAGTCATTACCAAGGCTCCATATAATTTCCACATCATTACTCCCTAACATACTGTACATGCAGCTGGAATACCACATTGTAAAAGACACAGTCTGACCACCATCATTTAGAGATTGGCAAGGAAGACGAGCTGGGTGAAAGATGTAGCCAAAGACAAATTGTCACAGGCACTTTTTTGGTTCACTCTGGTGTAGTTTTGTGCGCACATCGCAGATTTAAAAAACTTGTATCTCATACTCCTGTAATTTAAGAATGACACCCAAACTTAAGCTTTTCCTTCCTGCATTACATTGTCCCAACAATACAATACAGTACAATAGCATCAAAAAAATAAAAGTTGTGAATTAGGCGCTACTGGTAAATCATCCCAGCATTTGAAATAGATATGAATCAAACATTATCACATTGCTAAGATTCTTTACATCAAGCTGATCTCTTTTACTTGTATATCTACGATGCATTGAAAAGATTATACATTGTGCAGTATTTATAACAGCAGATCTGAATAAAGAACAGAAGTAAATATACAAGGTAAAGCAAGACAAATGTACATGGCTTTAGGTGTTCATAGATAGTCAGATGCCAATTGCATCATCAGGATTGGGCGAAGCCTGTGTTAAATTGAATCTTTCCTTGGCTTTTTCACGCTCCTGTGCCACTCCATTTGGATGGCGGGATGGAAAAAACATCCACCACTTCCAGGTATGGGTAAGCAGGTAACCTTCTTTCTCTCTCCCATGTGACAGCACTAGTTGCCCTGTGATTAGCCTTGTTCTCGCACATTGGGCTAGGGAATGAGTCCACAGCCCTTTGTGAGCTTCAGCAATTTAGTTTGGATCCTACACAGGGCTTTCTTTCCTGGGTCCCTGTGCTTGAACAGATTGACATGGGAGTATATGCTGCTGGGGAGTGGGAACCCAAATAAACATTTCCCTTTGCCCTGCATGGACGAAGTGAAGTGTGGTTCACTTGAAGGTACCCACAGACATGGGGTAATAGTCATTTTGGGCTGGATTAGGGAAAAGGAACTCACATCTATGTGGAACATGCAGTCACCAGTAGCTATGGCCTCTTCAGGAAAACTAGACATTTTGCTATTTTTTCCCCGGATAAGTCACATCTGGAAGGTGTCCATGCACCTCCACTGGCTCTCTACATAGGCTAAATATGAACTGCTGGCTAAGCCAACAATAAATGTCTAGGAACCTTTCATCAGACTCATGTGCCTGAGGGCAATCTAGTCACACCTGCCGCTCTGATTGATTTGTAGTTTCTATGGGCACCTTTATCTGTTTGGTACACCAGCCATCAATAGGACATTTTTTGGCCTAGATTGCAAGGCCTCTGTTAATAGCCGATTATTTTCCTTCCCTGAGGAGCAATAAGACCTGCCTTGTAGTTTTTACTCTTAACATACGCATGAGTTTTTAGAATTTGGACAAAAGGTACTTGTGAATTTATCCATATACTAAATAAAGAATCTTTCAATGGCCATTACTAAAAAATATTTTCAAATCTGTGGGCCCCTTTAGAACTGTTGGGAAGGCAAGTCATCATGGTAATAGCATGGGCCATGCTGCATGGCCTTACTAACAGAATAGCCTGACTAGAAATGCAAGTCAATCTCCTAGACTCTGATCCTTCTGTTGTCTCAGCAAGGCTCAGTGAGATATATTTGGGTAATACCAATCTTTTCACTCCATTTGCCCACAGATTGCTGTGCAGGTGGTGAGGACAATGAGGGCAGTATTTGCATTCTTCATTAAACTGTTCATCACGGTCGGCATAAATGGATGATGACTGGTGATTATCAGAAATCCTGGTGCTAATTTAGATCCCCAGAGCCCAGTTCTAGAGATCTAGGTTTAGCGTAGAAGCTTCATTGTGTTTCGGTGAAGGACATCCCTTAGCTGCTAATTAATCAGTACTGTTTTTGTTCAAAACAAGAATTAAACGTTTCCTCCAGTGGAGGAGTTAGGGTCTAAATACATTGCCCTCCTTTTACTAAGATGACCCACACCTGCACAGCGTGACTACACAGAGAATTGTTTGCAGGTTTGCAGTGTGTCAGCAATAGAGAACTTGTGGACATAGAACTGGGGATGGTGTAGGGTGGTGGCTTATATTAGCCTAAATGGCCTCAAAGTAGTGGATTTTCATTGTATGTTTTCAGCATGAGGGCTTATGGTAAAGAGTACAGAGATAGTGTCCATAATCTTTAAGCAGCTGCATCCTTCTTGTCATTAGTAATGCTACTCACAATCTTGCAATGATAGTTCCCCAATTTGACCAATTTTTTGTCTGTAGGAACCCCTTTGACCATATTGACTGACGGCTATCTGCTGGAATAGTCATGGAGGTTAGAAATCATGTTCTGTTCACTATTATTACCAAAGGGAAATAAGCTGAGTTGAACTATAATGTATGAATGTATGCACTCAGTCCTGAGAACCCAGGTGGATCGTAAATGCATATCTCACCTCTCTCAGATGTCTATGGGCATCTTAAAGACTTAGTCCAGCCAAAATTGACATTTTATTACTAAGTGGTACCTGGTGGGTCAATACCCGGTTTAGTATATGTACTGGATACACTTATAGTGATATCTGCTTTCTATAGTTCCCGGCTCTGTCCCTGTCCACCTGGGAATTTGGATGTTCCTTCCCACCTTCGTATGTTCCAGCTCCTTCTGTTACATTTTCCATGTTGTAAAATTAATATTAAAAAACAACAGGAAGTATTTTTGTGGGACATGCTCTACACTACTCTTCTATATGAACAAATAAAGAACTAAAAAACCCCAAAACAAAACAGTGAGAATGGAAACCCATAAAAAAAAAAGCGTGTAGGCCCCAGAACTCAAGCATAGAGATTTCACCACTAGAATCCATGAGAGGTGAAAGAAATGTGCAGGCGGTTTACCTTTCCAGCATATACTAAAAAACGAAAATATCAATTCTGAATGAACCAATATTTTAAGTGTATGCAAACCCGAACAATGAAGTTCTTTCATTTGCCATTGAAAGGGTGAATGAGGCATTAGTTTTATCTGTTCGATAAGTGCTAAAAAATGCCTGTTGATCCATCAATAAATCTTGGGAGTTGATAACGTCCTGTGCTGCCCTATGTATGAAATGAGGAGAGGTGGAGGTGTTCTGTAATCCTAAAATACTTCCTCTTCAGGGGTGGCAATGCTTCTCCTCTGTAGATACAGTACAGTGAGTTAGTGTTATCACCATAGGACACGAAGTGTGTTCCCGGCCGGGTTCGCAGGGGAAAATTAAAGGCAAAAAAAGCCAAAAAAAAAAGAACACTTATGCAGCCACACCACATCTATATATTATCTTTATATAATATTCAATTATATTCTCTTAAATAGGCTTTAGGACTATTTCCTGTTATTGTAGTGATTCTTTTTGTTTATATGGTCTAAGGAAATGCTCTAAGGCAGGGGTAGCCAAACTCCGGCCCTCCAGCTGTGGTGCAACTAAAAATCCCATGATGCATCTCTCTCCGGAAGTCATGTCTGTGAGAATCTTGCAAAGCCTCATGGGATTTGTAGTTCCACCACAGCTAGAGGGCCGGATTTTGGCTACCCCTGCTCTAAGGGGTGTGTGTGCCGCAATGAAGAAGAAGGCCTTTTACCTACTCCATGCTGGCCATGGGCAGCACAGTGGTGTAGTGGTTAGCACTTCTGCCTTGCAGCACTGGGGGTCCCTGGTTTGGATCCCAGCCAGGTCACTATTTGCAAGGAGTTTGCATGTTCCCCTTGTGTTTGTGTGGTTTTCCTCCCACACTCCAAAGACATGCTGTTAGGTTAATTGGTTCCTCTCTAAATAGGCCCTCCTATGTATCCATGTGAGATAGGGACCTTAGATTGTAAGCTCCATGTCGGTAGGGAATGATGTGAATGTGCAACTTTGTAAAGTGCTGTGTAAATTGTCAGTGCTATATAAATACCTGTAATAAATAAAGAAAATGAGTGGCCCAAGGGTCATTTGCACCCCCTTCCATGTTAGGCCTCTCTTTACATTATGCCAAATGAAGTAATATACCGTGGCCCAGCAAGTGTGGAGCCTAATAGAGTGTGAATGTGATTTTGCCCTTTGGCAAGAAGATCGGAGCAAGTGTGTGGGGAGGTCTGGAATCTTCAGCACACATAACAAAGACTCGTAGGATTTGGAGGCTTTGTACAACATAGGGTAATCCCACAGGAGAAGATATCACACCAGGAACACTTGAGAGTTCCTATCCTACGAGGCTATAATTTTGTAATGAGTTAATAGCTGCGGTTACAGCTTTTTATCTTAGTGTGCGTCTTCCCACATATTACTGGAGATTAGTTCAGACGTTCATAATTGCATATTAACAATAGTATCCTTCTTTCCATCTGTGAAGAGATTTTTATCTCTGATACTGTGTAGTTGGAGTAGTGTGAGGGGGATGTCAATCTGTCATCTACAGAAAGACTGCATTTTCCCAGAATCCTCATCTGTAACTGAAGAGATATTTTAAATGTTTTCTTCAGGTGAACCTGTACTGAGGTCAAGATTAGTAAACCATTATTTGGATTCAAAAGAAGCACCTGTAGATGCTT